ATAGAAAAAAGGATTGATAAAAATATGCTTTTCCGGATTTCCCCGAAAATTCCCTTCATTGGTGGTCTACATATGAAACAGTCTAACAAAGAGTTTGGTTTAAAGCATCGACCATGCCGAAAAGGAAGGACATTCATTTTCTCTTCGAAAACCGGCTTGACCTAACCTTTTTTCACATGTTCTCTCGTTTTATCCTATTTCTCAACTCCTTCCCCTATGTAGTCCATGTCCTCATGTCGTCAACCCTGTCGCACTGACGAGCCCGGGGTTGGCTAGACAATGATGATTCGTCTGCGATAACGGGCGAAACGGATCATCTGTGCTTTGGAGTGTATTCTTTTTCCAATATTTTGTTTTCCTTTGCTTCTAACTGAATATAGCGGGAGTGGGTCCACCTCAATTCCATGTAACGCCACTATATTACGTCAGCATTCGCTGTTTCATTAAACATAATCTTCTCTCCACTTTCATCTTTCCTTTCTTAACTTCAAAGTTTTTATTTCAGTGAAGCAATCGCAATCCACTGTTGCTAATCAACGTACATCATAATTGGTGTGACAAGTCCGATAGTGTGCGTTCGTTCTCTATCGTTCTCACTCAATCTACGGGTACTTACAACGTCGCCTTTTCGCCTTCTTGAGGTCGTCTTCGCCACTGCCTTAGGAACCTCCGCTGCCTACACTCAAAGTGAGTACAGCTCTCTTTTTATCATTGGTTATTCGATTCTTTCCTGTTACTTTTGTTTCTTGCGGTTCTGTGACAAATCAGAATACAGTGTGGCCATGTGGGAAATTTTGGCGTCAGTACTAACACCCCCCCCCTCGCCCTCCGCTTTATATTTTCTCATCTGGTACGACTTTTCCTAGGCTACCTGTGATCTTCCTAATTTTTCTCACCAGGAAAGGATGGTTGGTCGAAGTGGCCATTCGAAATGAGATGTATACTGCCCGATGGGCCCTTGGACGCTGATTACAAATCTGCCCTCCATATCTGCTAAACGATTCCCTGGACAAAGTTATGCAGGAATTTTGACCAGGTCACACCCATTTCCAGTATATAAGGTACATAAAACGCCCAAATTCGCTGAAATCTGAAATTAGAGGTGCTCTGGTGCCCTGGAAATCAACACTGCAGTCATTTTTCGTGAAAATATCTTGTTCGCCTTCTGGAGGGGCAGGGTGTGCAGGAACCTGCAACGTCCTTGGCAAGCGTTTTTACGCCGAACGAGTGTGATATTCGTGCTCTGGGGCTCAAATTAGCCCTAGAGACAAGTTTTCAACCAAATTTGAGATTTTCGACATATTTCAGATACAGCGGCCCACATCGTATCAAGATAATAGGTCGAAATCACGTCACTGTCAGTGGGGCAACCAGTGGCATGCAATTTCCCTAAGGTCGCTGGCCTACTCGCCATCCAACTCTCTGTGAGCCAATGGAGGCTTTTCGCGCAACGAATTCAGTCCTTGCTAGTTTATTGACGGTCCGATCAAACCATAACCCGCATCTTGCTTCCATGCATTATGGAATCAGTTTGGCGGCGTCTAAACGAATAATGCCCCCCCCGCGACAAACCAAACGATACAGCCGAAGTATCCCCCCTTAGAGTGTCCAGAATAAGCTCTGTTCCCCTTCAGAACATAAGAAGTTTCCGGTAGGCATCAAGGACCTCCTAGCTCGAAAGTGCTGTTAGAGCCATGTGCAGAAGAAAGCATTAATTTGAAGAACAGGCAAAGCGACTAAGATTGACGCGGAAGATCCGACCTTGACACTTGCAACCATGAGGCGCTCGCTTTCCCACTAAAGCCAAAGGTAAAATGAAACAAATACCATTCGGATACATTGCAAGGCATTGATGATTCAGAGCAGTGGTCTGCTCAGAAACAGAAAAGCCGCCATACAATCTGATCGAGAAATAGTTTTAAACAGATTTGAGGTCAGCCGTTTGAAATCAGTGTTCAAAAACTCGCATCAGCCGGTAATGAGCTCATTTTAATCGCCCCCGCCACCACCGATCGACGCAACCATCCTTCCTGTAACTGCTGCGGCCACTCCTCCAGACCAGTTACGCCTGGTCAACCTGCTACCACTTCCCCCAGTTCGCGAGAATTTTCTGGTTTCCCTCGAGAAAATGGCGTGAACGAACAACTAATCAACCACTGAATACCGATAAGTCTACAGCCGGGAAAAATATCTCGTAACTCAGAAAGATTTCCTGGAAAGGGATTTAGGCGTCCCTCTCCAGCGAGTAAGTGCGACCCGCTGATGGGGTTCTTCTAACGATTCTACCACCTGTCAAATATATTTGGGCTACAGCAGGTGAACAATATTTATGATCAAATTAATAGCAGGCTTCCTCGCTAGAGTAAGTCAGGAAGGCACTTCGGCAGCGCTCCTTAACTAGGGCTCAAAGCTGGAGGCTATGTGCCCTGTACGAGACTATGCGCGACACTGGTCGTCTTTTCTGCAAACCTTAGCTTTGCTTTTAAAAAGGAATCGTTCTTTCCTGTGTACCTATCCCCCGCTACCTTAATGTGCTGGGGTAATTATGAGCTTGAGTGATATTGATTTTTAAAGTCATGTTAAGTTGAACTTGTTTTGTTCCTTCTCCTCTCAAAGCGGCGAAAGGGTAGAATGTTGGTAGAATGAAGTGTTCAATTGAAACATCTGATCAGGGAGTGGTCAGATTAATCCGTAATGTTGGAAATATTTCATAAACTTACTGAGCTTCTCAAGATAAATGGCGATTTGTTCAATAAATAGAAATCTAGCAGTATTAAAATTCATGGTCTCGTGATTGACAACAAGACCTGGCTATTTTGTCCTGTGCATCGATTCTGCCGTTTAGCATTGATTTTGCAAGGAATGCTTGCTGACAGAGGAATCAAAAAACTGGCCTTGTGTTTAGATGGCAGATTTATTGATATAGAACAAATGTGCACCATATGTGCCGTTTCTTTTTTTTCTTGAAAATGGCCTTCGTTTTCACAGAGTCATCACCTGCAATCTGAAGGCAGCTTCTCTATGTTTTCTGAGTATAAGCTGTAGCTTGTGAGTTTCAAGGGCCTGTGCGTAGGGAAGCTTCTTTCAATCCGCTTCTCTACGCACAGATCCTTGAAACTCACAAATACTTTTGACTTCTCAGGGATGACCCGTTGTTTCTTGACTGATTTTTCATTCGAATACTACCTTGACCATGATTACGTCAGCGAAACGGGGATTGTGGCCGTTGATCATTTTTCCCATGTCTAGATAGCGAACGACGTTCGCGAGAGCGTCGCACGAAACTTTGGTCGCAGTTACGCCTCGGCTCTCTCTCTTCGCATCGGTAATGATATCATTATCAGCGTGAAAAGAGGTGTTCTACCGGGGGAAGACTTTCTACCTAAGTTGACGTGAAGTTCTGCTGAACTGACGACATCGAGCTCGTTTTCCGCGCGTCATTAGTTCTTGATGCCCACATGTCTGACGGCAAGCATCTCTGCTTCAGCGGTGCCTGCGTAGGTTGGTAAATCGATATGATAGGCTGTGCATAAGTTTCAAAGCCGACAAAGGTACTGAGGAAGTAGCGAAAAGAGACATTGGATTCCGCGCTTAATCCCTCAGTTTCGCTCTGTCCTGCTCTTCACGTGCGCTCAGAGAAGTGATCTCTGTCTAGTGCTATAGCGCTATTCAGTGCGCTGTTGGAATGACAATGATCAGAGTACTCCAGCATGCGAAGTTGGAGAGAGTTATCCGAAATTACACACTTCATCAGCGGTCAAGAAATCAAAAGCTATGCGCTTTTTTCCAGAATATCGAAGATCAAGTGAGCCAGGTGCGTCATGCGACTTGGCAGTGAATATTCCACAAGACTGCTTACCGAATAAAGCTTCCGAGATCTGAAGCATGTGTGGGCAGATTCCGGGCACCTGGTTAGACTACATAGGGAACGAAAAAGTAGAATGAGTACCACACCCTTAGAGCAGAGAGAATCCACTTTGCAAGTCTTGCTCCTTGCAGGGGATAATGGAGGCAGCTGATTCATCATTGGAAACAATGATCCTGACCAAAACGTTCAAAGTTTCATTGAAACGTAAGCGGAACTCATATCCCTGGCAGTCTGGTCGATATCTGAATTCTCTTCCATTCTCACTGTTAATGGTTTTTGTATAAGTTCGCTTCATTTTAACGAACTCGGTGACGCGTCGAGTCCCCCATGGGTGATGTATTTTCTTGTGTTATATAGTACTATGGGGTTAATTGTAACATTTCTAGAACTTTAAAAACTCTCGGATTCCAAAAAGTGCAGTTTTGAAGTTGCTCGTTACAGATTCAAAAGATGAAGGGAAAAAGCGGAAAAGAAAAGGAAAAAGTACAGGTGAATACAGTAAAGGAGGGAACATTGGTGTATTTATACAGAGCGTCTACTTTTCCGCATTATTTTTACTGAAAGCACTGTTTTATGAACTGGTCGGCCCTAATTTATTGAGCAATCTCGCCATAAAACCGTGGGTTCACATGTGCTTCAGTGTGCCAACGATTGACGAATTGCACAGTTTTCACCGCGCCATCCAACCTTAAAGACTGTTCCCGCGATCAAATGGTCCGCTAAATGGCTTCGTGCATTTGGTCGTAGTCCGCGATCGCGGAGAATATATACTTTCGTCGTTCGAAACGGCTAGATAAGAAGCTAGAGACGCGTGATTATTGCAACCATTGCAACCAGATACTTTCACTCTGCAAGACAACGGCTTACAAGCGGAATTGCGTGTGTACATAGCGTTGCCTGGAGCGTCGTAGGGTGATTTCCTGTGCTCTTGCCGGGAATTGGTTGCACGTCGAATCCTGCTGATTGGGCTTGCCGACGTCCGACAAACTCGTCCAAGGCGCCGGCCTCACTGCGAAGGGGGTCTGCGTTCATGGTGTTTCCAAGGTTTTTTCGCTTCTTCCTCTACTGAGGACTACTATAGGCTACTGCTTCATGACTGAGCACCTACTACCCGTAACACTTGATCGCGAGAATTGTCTTTAAGGTGGAAGTGAGCATAGCTTTGAGCGCGTGGAACCAAAGCGCGTGTTAGGCCCTGCTAATAACTTGGGACACTGGGGAATTGCAGTACTAGGGGAGCCGGAAAATGAAAGTGTTCGTTCCGATCTGGAGAAACGTGAAAAAATGCGCATAGAAGTGTTCTCCTTCAGTTCTCCTTGCTTCTACACCCCTTATCCCCGAGACAGAGAAGACTTGCCTTTTGAACATGGGACACTGGGGAATCGCACATTATTCGCTTTACCAAGGGTAAACAAACTAAATATTTGAAGTTAGTTGAAAGTTTTTAGTATGTTAACTACTGATTAATGCCGTAGTTCGCAAGAATGCTGAGTTATGGACAAAGTCAGGCCGCAACGAGACTCGAATCTGCATTTCCCGCTCACCGGGCGAGTGGGCTGACCATTACGTCAATGGGGTGGCTAGTGCCCTTTCAGCTCGGTGGCTTTTTGTGCCATAGCCTCACACACAGCCGATATCGGCTAACCGGCTCATCACGTTGAACGTGTGCTTATGGCACAAAAAGCTATTGAGCTGAGAGGGTGAGAGCGGTCCCGGTGGTGCACCCACAGATAAGCGGGAGTGTGGTATCGAGTCCCGCCTGGAGTCTGACTTTTGCCCATAACTCAACAATGATGTGAAGACAGTGGGTCCGCATGGCCCTTCTTGACCTGTCACTGGTTCTGTGATCACGATGCATCGGCGAAGCACAGGGTAAACGACTCATCTCAGGCACCCAATTGATTTAACATGCTATTGCTGCATTGTGGCGCGTCCGCTAGCTGGGAAACGCTCTGTTTGCGTACAACGTCGTGACTCGGCACTAGAGACATGCACCGCACTCTATTAGGGCTAAGCTTGTGCAACGCTTCTAGTGCTACTGCACAGACCTTCAAATACAGAGAGCTGTGCATCCATAATGTTCTAACATTCGGAAAACAACTGTGTTGAGCAGTTAGACGTAGTTGGGGGGGTGGTGGAGCAATCGCCTGCGCTTCAATATCTCTTCCTTTTATCAAGGCACAGGTTCAGCGGAGACCATCTATTGTCTGTGGGGCTATCCCCGTCAGCTCCTGGTGGTCTAAACCCTAAGCCTAGGCCTTTAAGAGGATACTGAGGCGCGGTAAATGGTCCCTCCTAACTAGTTTAGCGTCCATAATTGTCCCTTATCTTTTTCCTTATGCCGCTTATATCTTGGCACTTGACTAATATGACGGAGAATTGTTCCACGTGAGCGTGAGAGGAGCTGCATGCGTTCGGCATGTAAACGTCATTTTCATCTATCTCAATATCACGCAACAGAGCTATCTGCGAGCTGCCGCGTCATTTTGTTTTTTTATTATCGATCTGGATTGGTATTGACATTGCATATTAAAGATCCGAAGAAATTGTTTATACAGCAGTGGTAGTCATAAGAAAAACGCCTCGTTGTCAGTTTTATGAGCAGAAACGATTGATATCAGCAAGCGGAGAGAGAGCGAATAAAAAACTATCGGAGTGAATATTACCCGAATGCGTGCATTTCCTTGATGAACTAACGCTTACAATGGTTTCTATGGGGGATATCTTACACCTCCTAGGGTTTTATTTATTTATTAAGCTGATTTCATAAGATTTTAGCTGTTTACCTCCCATAGCACTCGTAAGGGGTTTCGCATTATTGCCCTTGACGTTTTCATGTTGATGCTTTTTAAGAATCAGACGAGGAGAAGATGTCGACGAATGGCTATGGTCATGGAATGGCTCGTGCAGCTTCACATGCAGGTATCGTATTCAGGCATTGCAAGCAATTTTATTCTTTTCTTTCCCCCGCGCTGAAATCAACACCCCCGTTCCGTTCCGATTCGATTTCCCGCAAAATAAAGCTTTTATTTTGTGAGTTTTCCTCATTTTTTTGAGCTGCGTTCATATTTTGCGTCAACGTCTAGGCGCACGCCAGTGTACAGCAGCGTTTCGTGGCGACTAAGAAAGTTTAGCTATCGATGTAGCGTACGCCAGCGTTTTCGCGGTATTTTTCCTGAAGCTTGAACAGTCCGCGAAAACGCTCGTTTCGTACGCTGGCAGACGCATGCATACTCTAGATCGATATACCTATCCTTTTCGGTAGTCCCGTCAAAGCTGGTTTTTTTTCTATTATGCTTGTGTACGCTAGATCGATCGTATACTTTGCTAGTCGCTCGAAACGCTTCCGAACGCTCGAAACGCTCTCGCAAACTATGAACGCACTCTTACAATAGCCTGGAAATCGTTCTCTTGCAGGGTCATGGTATTCCAGTAACCCCAAAGAACTGGATCGTCAAATCAGTCGATGGCTAGATGCCGCTGGCGATCGTGTGGGTATAGCAAGAGCAATAGTTTCACCGTATGTTTTACATTTTTTGTATCACTCTGTAACTACTCTTTGTATGACAGGCGAAATGTAGATTTTTGATACTAATAACGAATTTTCGAATCTTTTTTCAAGTTTCCCCATTTTTCCCCGAAGTTATATTTCTGCCAAGGTTCATGAACGGGTGTGATGTCATAGTGCTCATACGAATGGGCGCGTTGTTCATGGGCTAAAGGGAAAGGGCGCAAAGGAGAAGGTAAAGAAATCGATCTGGAAATCCCCGTTAGGTAGAGTGGACGACAAAAATTTAGAGAAGGATTGATTCCAGCTGGCTTTCGCGAACCACAGATTCTCCGGTGTCTAGGTAGAGTAAGGAACTCGCCCAAAGAGCGTGAAATGCGCGTTAATATCCCTGGGTCAGGACATATGCAGGCATTCTTGTGATAACTTCCAAAATGCAAAATCTGATATCGAACTAATAAATGAGTATACTATAGCTTCGTAAGCCTCATTTGTTCAATTGGTTCCCATATTACTCTTCTGGCTGCGCACGCAACACAGAGCTAAAGCGGCTTACATTTTGGGAGTTTTATTTTGCAGCAGCAAGCAACGAGCTGGAGCGTGTAGTCTTGCCTGGTCTCGTAATATGGTTAGCAGGAAAAGGCCGGGCACGCCATCGTTGTGATGATTACA